GGTTCACTAATGTCCTTTAGGGAGGGAAACAGCCATCCTTACCTGGTCTGGCCTACATGTGACTCTGAACTGCCCTCTGGGCAATTAGGGGTGGACAATAAATGCTGTCCAGCCAGCGATGCCCTCATACCATTAATGAGTAAAAAAAAACTCCTTCTGAAAACACAGGAAATAGTTACTGCTTGATTGTTAAATCTCAAAATGTCAACTTTTACGGTCTGCATTATCGTCAACAGACTTTGCACGTAAATTAATCAATCGGGGAACACAGGTGATTGGTGGGGGTAACAATAAACCTCAAAATGAGGGTCTTATGGAGCAATGGTAGTGTCTCTACCTCTGACTCAGGAGGCTTGAGATTACACACCTCTGGAGCAGGTGGGGTTTAATAACATCACTGACCAGGTTGATTAGAAAGTATCTACACTTCAAAATGTAGTCTTGACGATATATTCCACTGTTGCACATAGAATGGGAGACTTCATGAGTCTACAGTTGGCTGCATCAGTTTTGGTGCTTTTTTTCACTCTTTGCTTATAATAGTTATTGCCTTTTCTCAGATGAATAGCAGGAAGGAATTGAAATTACACCAATTATGTTGAAACAACAAGTTTGCTGTCGATTAATTACTGTAGATATGGATGTTAATTCAGCTCGGAGTCCTGGATTTCGAGGCTGGAAGTCTACTAAGGTGTATTAGCCAATCCCAAAACATCACTAGAAGATATCACAAATGATCTGAGATCTCTTCACACTGTGATACAGTGCACTGATCATCAGGAAATGAAAATACAAAGTTTCACATTGGCAAAAGTTCCCTTCTGCCTTTAGCAATTACACTTATAGAGTTCTAGAGTCACACAGCATGGAAACTTACCCTTCAGTCCAACTATTCTGAGCCAACCAGACATCCCAATCTGACCTCACGCTGTTTGCCAGCATTTAGCCCATGTCTTTCTAACCCTTCCTATTCATATACCCATCCAGACGACTTTTAAATGTTGTAATTATGCCAGCCTTCACCACTTCCTCTGGCAGCTCATTCCATACACGCACCACCCTCTACGTGAAAAGTTGCCCCCCCAGGTCCCTTTTAAATCACTCCCCTCTCACATTAAACCAATGCCCTCTGATTTTGGACTCCCCTATCGCGGGGAAATGACCTTGGCAACTCCTTGAGGGATTGGTGGGCCCTAACCAACACCAGGACCAGCTCAACTCCCAAACTGCGCCCACGTGACTGATCTCCTCTGGAAAGACCCATTTGGCCTCAGTGCCCTTGTTCTAAGCCAGGGTTGGACAGAAGGAAGAAAGCAGCCAGGTTCGCCAGTCCCAATGATCATCAACTGACCTCTGCTATAGAGGCCGTGTGTGAGAAGGGCAGGATCAGGATGGATCCGAGTGCTGCACACTGAGGACTCGCACTGGAAGAATGACTGGTGAGGCTGAGCCAGTGTACTCGGTGTACGGCACTGCCTTCAGTTGGAGAGGATCATTAGCTGGATGGCGTAAAATACAGGGAACACTCAGAGAAAGAATGAGGAAGAGCAGGTAAAATGACACAGCCCAATAACTTACTGTCAAGTATGGCTGGCTACTTATATTTAATAAACAAAATTGCTGTGCAGTTACACGGGGTTAACTTGCTTGTATAATCTCACATTGATCACGTGCAATGTTAAAATGCTTCAGTAAAGCCAGCTGTCAGCAAAGAGGCTTCCAGAAGGAGGGGCGAATGTGCCTGGGAGTCTTGACTTACTGTCACTCCATGGCAGAGCGTGGATGGGCCACACTGCAGGCCAGCGAAGGAATCCTTTGCTACTGTTGCAAAGCAGCAGCTTATCCTGAACCTCCTTTAGCCTCCTGCTTCCTCCTACTGAATCAGAGGCTGCAGCTTGGAAGAGGAATGAGGCGACAGATCCCAAACAGGAAACTACACACCCCTCTGAGGCAGCTACATCCCTCTAATTCTGGTTTTGAGTAGCTTCGATTTTAATCCCTCCCTCACTTGTGGCCATCCTTTCAGTCATCTCTACAATACCATCCCTCCACTTCTCTTCCTGACTTTTACCCTTTAAGACACACCTCACAGCCTGGCTGTTGACCAGACCTCTGGTCGTATAATTTATGATCTAATATGTTCTAATGTCACTCAATGTCATATTCTGCTTTATCACGTTCCTGGGATGCACCTTGTGGTGTTTTATTGCCATAAAGACAAAGTAAAATAATTGGCTTTTACCCGTGCTCTCTTTGTTCTTGAAGGCAGTGAATCTTGCTGTGATTTTACACTGTGACTTTGAACCACTTTCCAGGGACATTCATTACATGTGAGCCTGGACCTTGAGGGTCAGTCTAACCTTGGTGAGAGTCTGATTGGAACAAAATCAGAATCGAGGGTGGCACGGTGGCTCAGTGGTTAGCACTGCTGCCCCTCAGTGCCGGGGACGCAGTACGATTGCAGTCTCAGGCGACCATCTGTGTGGAGTTTGTACATTCTCCCCGTGTCTGTGTGGGTTTCCTCCTGTGGTCCAAAGATGTGCAAGTTAGGTGAATTAGCCATGGGGAAATGCAGGGTTATAGGGATAGGGTGGGGAGGGCTGGGTCTGGGTGGGCTACTTTTTGGAGGGTTGATGCAGATTCAATGGGCTGAATGGCCTCTTTCCCCCTGCCAAGCCAGAATATGCCCTTAGTCAATGCTCATATTTCTTTTCTCAAGTGAGTGTGAGTGGCAATCTGGAACAGGAAACTAGCAGATTTCTCTTCCTTTGTACAACTCAGGCAAGAAAAATCCAGCTGCATAAACCACCCTGAAGTTCACGTGCATCAGTTGAAACAGAGATTGCAATCCAACTTGTTGCATAGCCCTCATACAAGGCAGCTTTTGGGCTCACAGTTCAGTCCTGTTAAGAACTTGCAGAGTTCCAAGACTGCTGACTTCTCTCCACGGCCTTTCAACTGAACATCGAATTTTGGTAGACAACAGCTCAATACTGTAAGAGCTCAAACACTTTAGAAAAATTCAGCTCCTCATTAAATTCACAGACTGAACCTTCGCAGTGACCCAACTATCCCAAGAATGTCTCCTGGAAGTGACAAATACCATCAACTGGATTGCTCTGCTTTAAAAGGTTCCTGTGAACATTTTCTCTTTGCACAAAAAGGGAAAATGAGGAGATTGATAGGTGCTCTTTACAAGACATCATCAGAGATTAAAGGAGCAGGCAGCTCTTACAAGTACTGAGTTATTCTCCTCCTGCCCTCAATCCTCCTGTAAGTGTTTGCTAAAATATTGAGTTTTTGCCTGGTACAGACAGCGTAAAGACAGAAATGAAGAAGAATTGGCAACAATCTTCCAAACGCGCCACCTTTTGTAGCTGTTTACAACAAAATTACCATTTTCTCCCCCTACTTTTCCCCCATCTGAAGGCCTGGCTCTTACTAGGGGTAGTTCCATGAGCAAAGAAATCATGGCTACTTTTCACATGAGAACTCAAGGCTGTGGGGTTGGGCGTGAAATTCAACCATGGGAAGCGTTACAGCTGAACCATACAATGTTTTTACACAATGGCATGCAGATAAAAATACACTGAAAGGCAAACAAACACACTCTCATGCACTACCTCGCGACTCCAGTTTGATTCTTCCCACTTGGATTGTCGAGTTGCTGTTCCTAATTTTACAAACCCAGGTAAAATCTGCCATTGAAGCACACAGACTGTACTTCTCACCACACGCTTTCACAAAATAAGCTCCAGGTTCCAGAATTGCAACATATAAATACCAACTCCTTTCAAAATCAGTGCATTGGAGTTTGGGCTAATGAGGTTAAGGTGCTTCGAGATTTACAAGTTACAATCACTCAGTGGTCTCAGAATTACCCTCCTTTGTTTCCTTCCCTTAACTGAATTTACAGAGAAAGGTCAACGTTAGATCAGGGAAGCTCTAGACAATTATTTGAGCTTAACAATCGAACAATTACCAACTCCCCTAGTGATAAGGATATTGTTCTGGACGGTTCCTGTTTTTAAATTGGTCAGTGGTGGCATTTTCTTTTATTTACTCATGGGAGATGGGTATCACTGACTGGCCAGCATTTTATTGCCTGTCCCTACCTGACCAGGAGAAGGTGCTACTGAGCTCTGGTGACTCACACTTAGTGTGATATTTGTGAAAAATTATTGTCACACAAGAGCAACACCATGCAATATTCTTCACATCTTAAAATTTGTATTTTCAGCTTAAACTCAAAACAAGGCTCAACAGTTGTCCCAGTCAACTTCATAGCTTTACAGAACAGCCACCGCTTCACTTATATACACTCAGAATCATAGGATCCCTACAGTGTGGAAACAGGTCATTCGGTGCATTGAGTCCACACCCACCCTCTGAAGGGCATCCCACCCAGACCCACCCTATCCGTGTAACCCTGCATTTCCCGTGGTTAATCCACCTAGTCTGCACATCCCTGGACAATATGGGCATTTTATCACGGCCAATCCACCTAGCCTTGCTGAGACTGCAGCAGGAAACCACAGCACCCAGAGGAAACCCACGCAGACACAGGGAGAAAGTGCACGCAGATAAATCGCCCGAGGGTGGAATCGAACCTGGGTCCCTGGTGCTGTGAGGCAGCAGTGCTAACCTCTGAGCACCATATACTGTTACATCCTCTTCCGAAGTAATCTGCTCCTTATGGGGACCTCAACCCAACTAGCAGCTTGTGTAGCAACTGGACGGTATGCACATTGTCCTTGACTCTCCAAGAAGGGTAAACGGCATTCTGGCCTAGCTCCATCAGCAAATGCTGCACTGACTCTTCATAGGGTTAAAGGAATCAGAGGGTATGGGGAGGTAGCAGCAACAGAGTTGAATGATCAGCCATGACCATATAGAATCGCAGAGAAGGGCCAACGGGCCTAATGCATTCCTAATTTCTTTACTTTTCTACGGCTGGGAAGAAAACCTGTCGCACATATAAAGCGAAGCTATTAACTCACCCTGTAGGGCCTCTTTGGCTCGGGCCAGCTCCGTCTCCTTCTGAGCAAGCTGCACCTTCAGCTCAGTCACCGACAGGATTTCGGCCGACTTGCCTACATTCGAATCCTCCAGCTCCTTGGTCAGCATTTCCTTCATCTGTCGCAGCCACTGCACCTCCTCCTGGAGCTGGGAGACCTCCTCACGGAGAAGCACTGTCAATAGACCAAAGTCACAGCTCAGTACCAGACAAGAGACAGCTTGGCAAAAGCACTGACTACCCATTCCCGGTCGACTGGGGAGGGGAGAGGGTGGGTGCAGGGCCACACGGGAGAGATCAGGAAAGGAAAGCAAGGGCCTGAGGAAATCTGAACAAGGGTCTCAACCTGAAAACAAAAAATACCCCCGTTCTCAAAAATGGCTTGACATAAGCTTCCCACCTCCGCCACTATCAACCCATACGTTAGTATAGCCTAGTAGTTACTGTTAGTACAGTTAGGAAAGAGGCCACTCGGCCTACTGAATCTTTCCTGGCCCTTTCAAAGAGCAAACCAGTGTCCCTCCGCCGCCACCACCCTGTTCCATCCCCACTTCACTGTAACTTTTCCTCCTCCACGTTTCCACTGGATTTTCGTTTTGAACCCTGCTGTTCAATCTGTACCATCCAGGAGACTGGGCAGTGCTGCCCTGAATTTGGGAACGGAGAGAAAAGCTTTTAAAATCCTCTGTGCATGAGACCAGTGGGGGAAAACGCAGAAAACTTACCTATATACCCGGGTCCCTGCTGATGTTGCCAATTACAGACATACTATACGCACAAAGTTACAACTTTGACACAGGATTGTTGCCTACGGTTCCTTCATGTAACAGTCCAGACCATCCACATTGGCATCGGAACCAAACCAGGTCTTGGCTCGCACGTCAAAGAGATGGCCACATGAATCCATTTTAAAAGTTTTGCTCTCTATTCCCAAGTGGCATCAGAACCGAACCAGACTCAATTTTTCGCCCACTGGCTCTAGACTCCAGTGTTCTGCGGGCTGACCCCCTCCTTACCACTCACCCAATACTCTGCTCTTTGCACCCTGACTCGCCCAAGCTCTGTTAACCAATAATCCTGGCTCTCTGTCCAGCAACATGCCCATTTTAAAAACGATCACCCTCAAGAACAAATTCTACCAGCTTCTCGCCCCTTCCCCATCCCTACAACCTTCTCCTGCCCCATCACCCTCCAAAACCCACATGCTCCTCTAGAAAGTTCCGGGTTTGGTAACATCTGTTGTTGCCATTGGTGCCAAAAACCTGTCTTCCTCTGCCCTCTTGAATGCATCCAACAGCAGCTCAGATATGAACCTTCATGGAGTATTTGTAATGACTGCTGCAGCTGTAGTCCACAGAATGCCAACTACTGCTTGTGAAACAATGTGAAACTTTCTGAGAGGTTTGAAGGACATGACAAGATGCTACAACAGTGAGAGTAGTGGTATATCAAACTTTGCAGTGTTAAAAATAATTCAGGAAATTTAAAAAAAAGGACAGCGTCAGTTGAGAGGGACAGAAGAAAAACCAAGACCCAGTTCCATTTTGTCTTAATAGCTGCTGCAACATCAGTAGATCGATAGGAGGTTGCTGATGGAGCGAACTGGACTGTCACTGGTTGATATCACCACCTAGCCAAGGCTTTTCCTGCCAGAGTCACTGGATAAAGCTGAGAAAAAGGCTTATGAAATCCTGTGGCTTCATCTTCACACCAACTGGGAGAAGCAATAACTTCAGAACAAAACTTGCAGTGAGAAGAAATTACTTCTCTCTCAAAGGCTCGTGAATCAGTGGAATTCACTACCTCAGAGTGCAGTGAATGCTGAGACACTGAAATAAATTTAAGGAGATGGACAGACTTATAATTAGTAACTGGGTGGAAGGGTTATGGGGACTGGGCAGGTAAGGGGAGTTCAGGCTGAGATAAGATCAGCCATGATCATATTGAATGGTGGAGCAGGCTCGAGGGGCTGAATGGCCTAATCCTGCTCCTAGCTCTATGTTCATACAATATATCAAAACAAAACAGCTTAGGAGCACCCAAAGAAACCCATCAGTTAGTTATAGAGCCATGGAGATGTACAGCATGGAAACAGAGCCTTTGGTCCAACCTGTCCATGCCAACCAGATATCCTCAATAAATCCAGTCCCATTTGCCTGCATTAGACCCATCTCTCTATAAACCCTTCCTGTTCATATACCCATCCAGATGCCTTTTAAATATCATTTGATGCATTTGTACCAGCCTCCATCACTTCCTCTGATACTTGATTCAATACAAGCACCACACACCCCATGTAAAATGCTGCCCTTAGATCGCTTTTAATCATTTCCCTCTCACCTTAAACCTATGCCCTCTAGTTTTGGACTCCCCTAGCCTGGCTAAAAAGACCTTGTCTATTTACCCTCTCCATGCCCCTCACGGTTTTATAGACCTCTACAAAAGGTCACCCCTCAGCCTCCGATGTTCCAGGGAAAATAGCCCCAGCTTATTCAGCCTCAAAACGCTCCAACGCCTAGTAAATCTGTCAGAACCCTTTCAAGTTTAACAACATCTTTCCTATAGCAGGGAGACCAGAACTGACCAAGAAGCAAATGCGTGGTGTGATAGCAAACCAGATTTACGAACAAACCCTGTGGTTTCGATAAAGCACCTCTTAGATTGCCTGTTGCATTGACACTTGTACTGCACAAAGCAGCTGCGTGCACAAAGACAGAGTTTGATTTGAAATGTAAACTGCAGCCTAGGAACTCCCTCGATGATAGCTGTGAGAGTCACAGCTGTTGGAGGTGGCTATGGAAACAATGGCGCTAGATTGAATCAAAAGACTGGGATTACAAGGCACAGGGGTCATGGGAATTTTCAGCAATTAAAAGGTGTTTCTTTAAAAGGTGCGACACAGCAGGCAGTGAGAAAAACAAGTGCTTGCCACAGATTCACAGTAACCAGCCTCCATATCAGACCGTTAACTCTGTGTTTCTCTCTCCACAGATGCTGCCAGACCTGCTGAGTTTCTCCAGCACTCTGTCACCTCAGTCTCAAATCGGTGCTCCTTTACTCTGAGACTGTGCCCTCTTGTCCCAGGGTCTCCCACGAGGGGAAACAGCCTCTCAGCATTGACCCTGTCAAGCCCCTTAAGAATCCTACATCTTTCAACCAGACCACCTCTCATTCTTCTAAACTCCAGTGACTAGAGTCCCAACCTGTCTAACCTTTGCTCATAAAACAATCTCCCAGACCAAGGGCTCTCTTGTCAGAGCATTCCCACCATCTGAGGCATCAATGTGGCAAATCTTCATTGCAGTCTTACTATGGAAAGTACATTAGGTATGGAGACCAAAACTATCCACAACACCTGCCTGTGGTCTCACCAAAGCCCTATACAATTGTAACTAGATTTACTCCATTAGTTTTTCTAATTATTTGCGGCATCTCTATGTTAACTTTCAGTGAGTTATGAGCAAGAACACCCAGGTCCCTTTTCAGCAGGTTATTTAGAAGCAGACAGAAGTTATATGCAGTTAACTACCCATTTAAGAGATGTACTAAGCTAAGTAACAGCTGCTCAATCCAGAAGCTCACTAACTGCACACAATGCTCACTCACTTTCTCCTTCCTGACCATGCATCTCCCTGGGCCAAGAGAGAGAGTAACATACAGTTTATAGGAATAAACAGAGCCTAATCTAAATCAGAGAATTCATACAGTGTGGAAACAGGCCATTCGGCCCAACATGTTCACACTGACTCAACCCCCTACCCTAAAACCCTGCATTTCCCATGGCTGATCCACCTAATCTCTGGATACTATGGGCAATTTAGCATGGCCAATCCACCTAACCTGCACATTTTTGGAAATCCACGCAGGCTTGGGAAGAATGTGCTAACTCCGTATAGACAGTCGCCTGAGGCTGGAATTGAACCCTGGTCCCTGGCGCTGTGAGGCAGCAGTGTTAGCCACTGTGCTGCCCCGTGTGCTTTCAATGTGACAAGAACTATATGTGGGTGTGGGGTAAGATTTTAACCTGGTTCATTAAACAGGACTCAGGCTGGGTCGGGTCAGATATCCTACTTACACCCCATTAAAATCCATAGGGGATGTAATCCAGGTGAGGTGTTAAACAGGCATCTGGCTCACACTTTGAAAATGGTGAAGTTCAAATCACAGTGTATGTGTGTTTAACAGGCTGGTGAAAGTGGTATGGTTTGTGGCAGAGATTCCTGAGGCCAAGAAATGCAGGGAGCTTGGGGAAGAATATATGGAAAAGGAGTCCTCCTGTTGATGTTTCAGGAGGGCAAAAGCACCTTCCATTTCATCTCCCTCGAGCTGCGACACAGTATGATACTCCAACAATAAAATGGGTGGGTACATAGATCTTTTGCAAATATTTGGTTTTGAATGTCCATGGGGAGTTCAGTTTTGCTGAAAAGGTTTTCCCAAGTAATCAGGTTTAATGTAAAGCGACACCCACGCATTCACATTGAGAGAGACTGTCACCTAAAGCTAAAGAGATGGATATCAGATCTTCCCTGAATTTTACTCCTGTGATTTGCACCCTAGAAACTCTGAATAATTAAATGAGAAATTACACATCCCTGCAAATCAGATGAATGCTGATAGTAAACTTGGCTCAGTGGGAGCAATTTCTCAGTGTCAGAACACTGCAGTTTCAGGACAGGCCTTAAAATCTAGCCAACACTGCAGTTAGGAAAAAGAAACGAAAGATGTGCATTTACTGAAGCTGTGTGTTGTGCTGTGCTGGGAGTGAATAACTAATTGGATCTTCCTATGCAGAAAGTGACTGCTGTGTTGGTCAACATGTTGTCTGCAGGAGGCAGCTCAGAGCATGCAAAACATTTCAAAGCATTTCTAAGAGCGGTAAGATGCTTTCATTCAATGGAAAATGCAAATAAGTCCAAGATTTGTGGCCCATCCCCAATTTCCCCTGAGCAGAGTGGCTCTCTGGGCCATTCCAAAGAGCAATTAAGAGTCAATTGCACCAGCGGAAAAAGGGATTAAAGTTGAGTTCACACTTGTCACTGCTCCTGAGCGTATCCTGCTAGAGGGAGTGCATGGAAAGGCTAGGTGAGGACAGGATACGGTGTAATTATTCACCAGGAAGGCTTCTACAATTATGACCTGCTTAATAATACAGGTCATTGCACTTAGTTTTGA